GAAATGCTAACGTAGCATTTTTTTCAATTTTCCCGAAAATTTCCGTTTTTTTCCAGAAAAAGCTGGGGAAAACCCTGGGGTTTTTTCCAAGCTTCAAAATTTCCGGAAATTTTACATCTCTACTCCAGCCTAAAAAGAACTGGGGAAAATAGAATGAATGTTTCAAGATTGCCAGTGAGAATGTTCCTTATAGGTTTATCTCCTTCTGCGTTACAGCCAATGTGTCTCCTTCCTATCCCCCAAGAGATAACATTTTCCCTTTAGCAATGAACTATGTCTGGGTTTTTTTTCCTCCTTTGCCTCTAAAACCAAATGACTCAGAACGTTATATAAGAAAAGAGGTTCTCCATATCTCAAATCTCTGTGGAATTTTATCTTCAGGGTGTCTGGGAAGACCTGATACTACAGATTAGGGTTCTGTGTAGGTCTTGTTCCAACTTCTACATTTTTCCTTCCTTCTGTTATTGTGCTACGTTCAAGTGCATCCCAAAGAGCAGCTTACCCTATTTTGCCTCACAACATCCATGCTAGGCTGGGAGACAGTGACTGACTGGAAATCACTTGTGGGCAAACCTGTTGCATATGCTAGGAAGTGCCACAGCTCAAATCCACAATTGCCTAAGACCTACGTCTCTTCCCATTATGACCCTGTGCCACCAACTGCAGTCCTCTGGTGCCAGCCTGGTAGGTGTTCCCCTGCTTAGGGTAGCCCACCTGGCATCAAGTAGAGAGCCCGTGCCTTTTCCCTCATAGCGTCCTATCTTTGGAATGGGCTTCCTGAGGAGTTGACGGAGGGTGCCATCCCCAGAGGTGTATAGGAAGTGCTATAGGGTTGCCAGGTCTCCCCCCCCCCAGCAGAGGATGGGGGGGTAGGGTTGCCAGATCCAGGTCGGCCTGGCATCAAGTAGAGAGCCCGTACCTTTTCCCTCATAGCGTCCTCTCTTTGGAATGGGCTTCCTGAGGAGTTGAAGGAGGGTGCCATCCCCAGAGGTGTTTAGGAGGTGCTATAGGGTTGCCAGGTCTCCATCCCAGCAGAGGATGGGGGGATAGGGTTGCCAGATCCAGGTCGGGAAATTCCTGGAGCTTTGGAGGTTGAGCCTGGGGAGGACAGGGAGGACAGTGAGGTAGAATCCACCACCAAAGCATCTGTTTTCTCCAGCACAACTGATCTTTGCAGTCTGGAGATGAGCTGTAATTCAAGGGTTCCCCAAGTCCCACCTAAGGTGCTACAAAGTCATTTTATTTGCTAGGGGTTTTAATGGGGTATAGGTAGCAGGGTTTTTTTAAAGGGGAAGAGGGGTTAGTGGGAGTTTTGTTGTATTGTTGTCATGTTTTATATTTGAACATGTAAGCCAGTGGTGGCGAACCTATGGCACGGGTGCCAGAGGTGGCACTCAGAGCCCTCTCTGTGGGCACGCGTGCCATCGCCCCAGCCAGGCCCAGACCATCATTAAAGTGTCGAATTCTCTGCCAAATAGTTTTAAGTAAATGAAAGCATTTGGGATTGCTTTCCTTACTTTGTTTGGATCATCTTAAGTTAATGTATGAGTTGTTTTTTCTAAAGTAAAACCTCAGTATTCAGGTTAAATTGCCATGTTGGCACTTTGCGATAAATAAGTGGGTTTTGGGTTGCAGTTTGGGCACTCGGTCTCTAAAAGGTTCGCCATCACTGGTGTAAGCTGTCTTTGAACCATCGGGAAAGGTGGGCTATAAATATATTAATAAATACATAAATAACATTACCTTCCTATCGATGAAACTGTTAACCGAGGCCGAGGTTATGACCCTGCTTGTGACTTTTGACCATTCCTACTCTACCACTCTCAGTTCCCCAAAGGTCCCTGGCTTTCTGTCATGACTTCAGAGAGTAACCCATCTCCCGGTGGGGTCTAGACTTCTCTTGGTCTTACAACGGATCCCCAGAGATCAGTTCCCCTCAAAGAAATGGAAGCTTTAGAGGGTGAAATCTGTGGCACCACATTTGTACGGAACTCCCTCCCCTCCTCAGCCTCCACCCTTCCCTGGAGCCACCGCCAAATCTCTAGGTATTTCCTCAGATGGATTTGGCAGCCTTTTGGCTCCACCCCCATCTCCCCTGCTGTTCCTTATGGTAGGAGCCCCTCCTCCTAGGGCTGCCAAGTCCCCCCAGGGGGCGGATTTCCCCCCGCTTTGGAGGCCCGATTTGCGCCCCGCGGAATCGGGCCCTGGGGGAAAACCCACCCCCGCATGCACGCTCCGCGCGCATGCTCCGGGAACCACCCCAGAGTCCCCCACCGGCGAAGTAAGTCCAATTTGGCAACCCTACCTCCTCCAGGACAGCCACCTGGTGTTACTTCTCCTTCAAGACCCTTCACGAAACCCACCTTTCCTGCATGCCTTGGAGTCTGGCTGCTTAGCTGCCATCCTCAACTAGCAAAGCCTAATTGAAGGCTTTTTTCTAGGGCTGCCCCTGCTGAGGCTAGAAGCAGAACCATGGCTGGTAGGAATGCCAGTCTCCGGGTGGGTCTGGAGGATCCCCTGGAGTGACAGCTCACCTCTAGGCTACAGAGATCGGTTCCCCTGGAGAAAATGGCTGGTTTGGAGGGTGGACTCTATGGCCTTGTACCCCACTGAGGTCCCTACCCTTCCCAAGCTCCAGCCCCAAATCTCCAGGAGTTTCCCAACCTGGATCTGGCAACCCTATTCCCCCCTCCCATTCCTCACCAGCAGCCAAGGGGGACTGGCAGCCCTAAAAGCCAGGGTGCTAGCTTCCTTCGAAAAGACTCTCCTCCCCCCCCCATCAGTAATAAAAGACAACAGCCATTTGTGAATGGAAAATGAATGGTTACATCTGCAAGGAATCAGAACAGATGCCCTGACCACTGCGAGTCTCTTGAGGGAGCCTCCGTCATCCCAGTGCTTTTTAAAATGCTCAGCAAAGGGCATGGGAGAAACAAATCCGCCCAGACCTTGCCCATTTCCTCGGGTGATGTCGCTCATACAACTGGCCTCGAGAAACAAATAATGAAAACAAAGTGGAGGAAAACAGAAACTGTCTCTGACCGAGCCAAGAAACATGGTTTTTAGCCTCACCTAGAGCTTATTTTTTTAGATACAGGAGGGCACGGCTGCATGGAAATGAAGGGATTAGATTATCAAAGTGTTCTGTACCTCTAGGCATTCTGTTGAAGGGACCATTCGTGGTTGTTCAGGATGCAAGCAGAAGTTACAACATTCCCTCTCGGCTGTTTTTTCCTAAGGCACCGGAGCCTGGCAGTGTGATCTCCCACCCCCCTCCGAGGCTAGGATTTGCCAACTGCGATCGGAAAACTTGAGCGTAATTGCGGACTGCTTGCGATCTTGAGAAGTCGCAGTGTGGACTCCACAGGGAATTTTTCCTGTCATTTCTCCTCTCCTCTTGCCAGCAACAAATACTGCTTAAATTGGAAGGGACTAAAATAAGCTTCCTGGGATATAACCTTGTACCCTCTAACATTTCACAGATGACAGCACTCTTCTTCTCCCACCAAGGGTCACACACTATGAGCCATGCTCCCACACATAAACACACATAAAGACCATTACACTGTGCTGGAGGCTTTCTTCTGCCCACTTTATTCATTTCCTCTGCAGCAGCTTGCCCTGCATAAATTAAAGAGGGCTGCACATGTAGTATCTGTGGTGCAGAATGAACCTCACTTCAGCTGCAGTGAATTTAGGGTTGCCAACCTTCATGTGGGGCCTGGAGATCTCCTGGAATTACAACTGATCTCTAGATGACAGAGATCAGTTCCCCTGGAGAAAATGGCTGCTTTGGAGGATGAGGTCTAATGCATTATACCCTGCTGAGATCCCTCCAAACCCCACCCTCCCCCGGCTCCACCCCCAAAATCTCCAGATGTTTCCTTCCCTTGAGTTGGCAACCCTATATAGTATGTGGAGCAGCAGGCTATGTGCCACATGTTGCTTTGGTGTTCATGCTTATGGATGTTTTTCTGCAGAAGGGACAGCTCTGAAAAACTGAATAGGGATGTTCAATTGTGCACCATTTTGTGGGAATGCATGCGGGGTTCTGGATTAAGGGGAGCCAACTGCAGTACTGCACACGGATTGCTTCGGTCCCATTGACTTCAGTGAAGCCTCCTGTTCTGTGGGATTGTAGCTTTTGAGAATAACATTTGAGTGGCAGGAACTGGGTCTTCTTCTCCTTTCAAGGTCTTTATCATCCACCAGCAGTAGAGGAGCCAGTGTAACCATTAAGAGTGTCAGACTTGTATCTGGGAGACCCAGGTTTGAATCCCTGTTCTTCAATGAAGGCTTGCTGGGGGACCTTGGTGTAGAGAGCCAATTTGGTGTAATGGTTAGAAGCACAGACTCTAATCTGGGAGAACCGGGGTTGAATCCCCACTCCTTCACATGCAGCTGTTGGTGTGACCTTGGGTCAGTCACAAGTTCTTTCAGAGCTGTTCTTTCACGAGCAGTTCTCGAAAGAGCTCTCTCAGCCCCACCTACCTCACGGGGTTTCTGTTGTGGGGAGGGCAAGGGGAAAGGAGATTGTAAACCGCTCTGAGACTCCTTTGGGTAGTGAAGGGCAGCATATAAATCCAATCTCCTCCTCCTCCTCCTCCTCTTCTTCCACTCTCAGCCTAACCTACCTCGCAGCATTGTTGTGAGGCTAAAGTGGAGGAGAGGAGAATGATGTAACCTGCGTTGGGCCCCCAATACGGAGAAAGGCTGAGAATAAGTGAATTAAACAGATTCCATTTGTTGTTGCATTCCAGTTTTTAAAATAGAATAGAACAAGAGGGACTTGCCATGAGAAATCCCGTTCTCCTGCCAAACCCAAATTGTAACAATAATAGTACATACTCTGTGTGTTTGTTTGTTTACTTCTGATATATTTTTTCAAAAATCCAAAGAAAATGTATACGTATTTTTTTCTGAAGCATCAGTAGCCCTGAAAAATATGTTTGTATCTACTTTGTGCCTCATGGCTCTTCTTAACGTTTCCATTTTCACAGCTACTTAGACAGCTTAGATCGAATTGGAGCTCCTGACTACCAGCCCACAGAGCAAGATATCCTTCGAACCAGGGTCAAAACAACTGGCATTGTAGAAACCCATTTTACGTTCAAAAATCTCCACTTCAGGTTAGTACCATGCAAAAACACAACTGATCGTCAAGGCCGTGCAGCCTTATTTAACTTCAGTCTTTCGGTTTGTCTAATCAATTGTTTACCCTACTCTTCTTCCCAGAAACTTGAGGCAGTGTGTGTAACATTCTCTTTTCTCATAGCTTAGGCTGAGAGACAGTGAGTAGTGCAAAATTATTCAGTGAGCTTTTATGACTGAGGACAGGGATCTGAACCCAGGGTCATCATCTAGGCAACAATCCTGAACTTTCACATTCAGTGTAAAAGTACTAAAATGTGCTCTGTGTGAAGCTGCTTTCACAGAATGTCTGGAAATGGCAACTGATACAGAATGCAGTACCCACCTAATTGACAGTTGTTGACTGTGGAGAAAACATTATATTGATAAATCTATTTTGGCTACTAGTTTGTTTCCAGGCCCATCTCAAAATACTGTATTTGACCGTTAAAGTCCTAAATGGCTTGAGTTCAGCAAATCTCAGAGAGCACCTCCTTTTAAATAAACCACCAGTGTGCTTGGGTCATCAGGCAGAGCCATGCTCTTAACATGTTAGGTTAGGTTGTCTGGCTCAAGGTTCAGGGCCTTTTTAGTGGTGGCGGCTATCATGGAACTCTCTCCCTCAAGAAAATGGGCAGAATTGTTCAGTTTTGGCTTTAAAAGATCTGAATTTGATATTTTTCTGTCTCCCATTTGAAGAAATATTATTTTTATTCCAAACGAATGATATCTCAGTGGAACCTGCTGCCATTATGGATTTCTAATAACTATATTCAATTTAAAAACAATTAATAAATTTTATTTATGATTTTATTTATTTTCATTTTATTTACAATTTTATAATTATTATTGTTGTCATTAGCTGCTATGATGGCCCTCCTTCAGAAGCACGATTTTTCCTCTGTTGTTCTTTCCTCTGTTGTGTGAGCCGCCCTAGTAATGTGTTTTCTTCTTTGCTGAAGAACTCTGGCTGTTCCACCCTGCCATAGTACAAAAATGGCACCTGGTATTTTTGGCCACCGTGTGACAGAGTGTTGGACTAGATGGCTTCTCTTATGTTCTTATGTTAATATTTTGGTTGTGGGCTCAGCCCAGGAACCTGAGAGAAGGATCAGGAGCTCGCTTTAACTTGAACAACTTAAATGGCACTCGAGGCGTTTTGAAATTCAAAAATAAAATATTTTATATAACATAGAGGTGTAATCTGCAGTTGAAATTTCTGAGGTAAAACCAGTACATGCACAGACTTTAGTTCTCATGTTTCAGGCTAATGAGAGTTTCTTAAGTTATTCACAGTTACTTAAAATCATTATGTTGAGAGGCTTTTGTTCCAGTATTGACCCAAACACTTTAGTATACTTTCTTTAGGGTTGCCAGATCTCCTCGGCTTGCCAGCAGGGGGATCTGAGGGGCATTCCGGGGTGGCCGGGAACATCATGCAATGACATCATGCAGAAGTGACATCATCGTGTCGTGGACGTCATGTGGTGATGCTCAGTTTTGCCCAAAAAGCAGAGCGTCACTGCACGATGTCCTGACGTCCCTGTTTGGGGGCAGGTAGAAGCCTGAAAATTAGGGAGAACCCCTGTCCAGATCGGAGGTTTGGCAACCCTAACTTTCTTTGAGTATTCTCTAATTCCTTTGGTTTCCAGAAGGCTGGCACACTCTTCCAGTAACCAAATGCCTTCTCTTGAAATGCCAGTAGTCATCTTGATTTTTTAACTGACTCCAGAGGCCCTTTCTAACCACACCAGACCAGGGATCTCTGTACTCTTCAGAGTTAGCTCCCTATTTGACTAGGTGGGGAATTTTCTCCTCTTTCTAGATCTATTCCCTTTCCTTGGCCCCAATGGGAGTCTTTGCCTTCTTCCCAAACTTCCTTGCCAACTTTCCCCCAGTTCCCCTGTCTGTGTTAAACTGCCCTCAGTTGGGGCTGAATTCCAAAACTGTCAGTACTCGACTCTTCTCAGCTAGGGTGGAAATCAGACTGAATTCAGTCAAGGCAGTAATATGACTGATTCTCTACTCAGCATACAGCTCTCTCAAGACTTTCTCTGCTCAGCTGATGCTAACCAATCAGATTCCTTGGAGCAGCCTGTCACTCAAGAGTCTCTGTTTCTGTGAAGAATGAACCCTTCACAGTCTTTCAGCTGTCTGTACAGCACTTCCATGCTTCTTAAAAGTGCAGTCTGTCACAGTTGTCCTAAGATTTTTTTCTGCCATATGATGAACAAAATAAATCAATAAGTAATTATTTATTAATTATTTATCCCTCAGCAGCTAGCTCAGGCTGTATCCAGACATGATTAGATATTTTCTCTAATGCCCCACTACAGCAATAATTCACAACTGGATTTTCCTGTGTGGACAAATTAATCCAGCTGCAAATTATCACTGTAGTGAACCACTGTGCAGTCCACAACCATGTGTGGATACAATCTCAGCAAGGAGGATGACAACATAGGAAGAAGATTCTTCTTGACTGTCCATTATAACAGGACGTTCTCTGGATCCAACCCATAACAAAGAACTTTCCCCCTTTCTTTCACAGGCTGTTTGACGTCGGAGGTCAGAGGTCAGAACGTAAGAAATGGATCCACTGTTTTGAGGATGTCACAGCGATTATTTTCTGTGTCGCACTGAGTGGGTACGACCAGGTGCTTCATGAAGATGAAACCACGGTGAGTATTCTCTGGGCAAATTAGGCCCTGAGACGTCAGCGCTTTTCTGTGTACCAGTTGGAGGTCACATCTTAATCTGTCGTTGGCTCTTCGTCCGAACGGATGCTACACCTTTTCTTACTTAACATGTCTTCCTTTGACTCTTAAATGCTACAGAGATTCCATTCTACAGCCAACTGTTGGATGTTAAGTCTTCCATTCGGCATTAGCACAGGTAACCATTGTTCCTTGCTCTCTTATTAAGTTCATCAAGAATTTGGCTGCAAATCTGTGTCCCATTCTCACTGGTTAACTTGAACCAGATGTCCTCAGTACCGAAGAGGCTGTAATAAATGTTTAAATTTATATATACGGAACTCTGTGGAGGTGTTATTATGATTCTGCTCAAAGAAATCTTGCAGGACAAAGACCAAAAATGAGAGAGGGTATCTGCCCACAAGGAGAGTACAATCTCAGCAGTTGAGAAATCTAGAAAAAGAGAGGAGGAAAGAGAGTAACTGGGGTAATAATGGCTGGATGTGAGTGAGTGCAACTGGACTAACTACAGTTAGAATGTCTGTTTCTGAGTGGATTCCTACAATCACATTCCCTGCATAAGGCAATGCTGGTCTTCTGAATTCAAGGTGCTGTTGTGCGAGGAAGAAACTTGGGTATTGAAGAGTAGGTTGTGAAGTGTTTTCAGTACATGCTGAAACAATGTTTTTAGTAAGATTAACACCTGTTTGCTCAGATAAAATATAATTCTAATTCATATTCCTCCTCCCCCAAGTGGGCAGTAAGTTTAAGAAAGCCTACGTGTGTGTGTGTGTGGGGGGGTGTCTCCAGAGAAGAGAGGATTGGGGATTTGTGGTCTATTTATTTACAATGAACAGTATATAGAGGTTGGGGAAACCCACAGGAACATTTTGAACAAGGGATCTTTGGAGATGTTATTAGACGTTGGATGCTGTAGAGTTCAGGCAGTTGTACTAGATTTCTGCCTTAGTGGAATTCTAGCCCTACTAATCCTGCATCACTGTTCCTTGTTGCAAAAATGAAGACTATGTATTCTTTGGCGGGCTGCTCACAATCTGCTCTCTCAACCCTGTTTGCTGAATTGGCTTGCTCAGCTATCAGTTTCCAAATTTCTGCTTTCTTCTACCCAACCAACTCTCTGCTAAATGGATTCATGTAACAGGGAAGACGTTCTCATGACTGTAGTCTACAGCAAGGAAATTCACACTGACCACCCCGGGAGGGGTGGGATGCAATTTTGTGATAGCAATAGCGGGTGTTGGGTTTTTTTAAGCAGACAATGATATCAGGAAGGCAAATGTAGAGAGGCTGCTGGAACTCAAGCAGTAGTTATCTCATCTCGCAGTTATAACCATTTTGATATACAGCATCTAAAAACACTTCAAAGAAGAAAGCCTTCCTGAAGGCTAGAGGTAGGAGAAGAAGGTTAAAGGAGCAGCTATATCTGACATCTTGCTCTTCTTAGATGATTCTGAGAAATCATCTGCTTGCCTTTGGGTTGCGGACACTGGTAAGGCAGTTGTGGCTTTTGCGGTCTTGGCCCTGCACGTACATTAGCTCCAGAAACTTGTACTTAGCCAGCCGTGGATGCTGTGGGTTGATACCAGCCCATTTCAAAAGGTACAGTCTATTTCATTTCTAATTCAAGTGGGTATGCAGCTGAGGCTCCTCTTTAGAAGCCAGTGAGAAGAAGGCAGATAGCATGGGTTTTGTTCTGTTGTACAATAGGATGGTTTATTTGTGGACTGCGGTTATTGGGAATGAATGCATTTGGGGGGTGGGGGGAATTGCCTGCCAGTGTTTGCAACAAATGATGTTTCTCCAGTGTTCTGCTTGCAAAGAGTCAAGGGCGTGGTGCTTTTATGAATTTCCCATTTACTGAGACCACTTCACTGGTACCTTGTGCTTTTAGAAGCATTTGAGAAGTAGAGGTTTTGATTCCCCCAGAATCGATGCCCTGCACATGTTTCTGTTTAAACAATAGCTAATGCAACTTAGAGTGATGTGTGTTCACAAACACACATAGGAGGGGGGAGATAAATACATTTGTAGCTTTTTAAGGACTTTCGTTTCCAATTCTAAGTAACATAAATTCATTGGATGAGCTGCCAAATTCAGAATTCAGAACTGCTAACCCCCTACAGGGTGCAGGGCAGTCAGAGTTAGACTGGAACCTGGAAACTGTCTCACAGTGAGTCAAACCATTGATCTGCCAAGCTCAGTATCATCTGCTCTGACTGGCAGCCGTTCTTTAGGGTCTCAGATAGAGGTCCTTTTAACTGGAGATGCCAAGGATTGAACCTGGGACCTTGGTGCACTACCACTGAGCCATGGCCCTTTAAAGATGCTGCCTCATACAAAATCAGACTGCTCATCTCCCAAGGTCAACGTTTTCTGCTCTGAATAGCAGCAGCTCTCCAGGGTCTCAAGTGGAGGTCTTTCATATCACTTCCTACCAGATACCATGAACTGGAGATACCAGGGATTGACCCTGGAACCTTCTGCATGCAAAGCAGATTTTCTACCACTGAGTCACAACCTCTGCTCATGCTTTCCCCAAGTTTGATAAGAGTCTTGATTTACCAGTTGGATCAGTAAAATGTCGGCTGATTGGCAATGTGGTCATAGGGTATATGCACAGTGCTCAGTCACATCTGGCTAGGGTATAACTGGCCACACCTCAACCTGCATAGCCCAGGCTAGCCTGATCTTGTCAGATCTTGGAAGCTAAGCAAGGTTGGCCTTGGTGGGAGACCACCAAGGAAGACTCTGCAGAGGAAGGCAATGGCAAACCACTTCTGCTCTTCTCTTGCCTTGAAAACTCCATGAGGTGAAACTTCATGGGTTGCCGAGAGTTGGTTGCGACTTCATAGCACATTTTACCTTAAGAAATCAAGCAAAAATCAGCTGCTTTGTATGGCCAAATAGAATCCCATTGAGTTCTAATCACTGTTCACAAGCAACAATGAATACACATACAGTGTACACTTGATTTTCCTTTATACATGTGTCAAGTAATTATCATGCTCCATTCAGCACATTTTTTAGCTGAACTTATGATTTAAATGCCACATTTATCCAGATGCTGCTCTCCGGTTTCATTTGTAATGAATACATATCAGCTGTTTCTTACAAACAGGTATAGGCATGTACATGCAGGATGAATGTGTGTTCGGTGTAACATGTAAATAAGGGTCTAGTATTGCCTGATCCCTGCTGAGCAGGTAGCTGCAGTACTACTTCCAGGCCACAGGTGCACTGGAGCACATCCAAAGGTAGGTGGCCCACTCCACTAGTTATTTTGTTCTGATGTTCTCTCAAACAGCGGTTCTCAGCTCATGAGGAGCACTCACAAACCATGTTTTAAAAGTTTTCAGAGGAACGATTTATGTATGACTGCTTCCTGCTCTTTCTGTGACGGCCCCATCAATGGCAGTTGGACACCAGATCAGTGGCCAGAGTGGCTCAGAAAGATTCCAGTTATTCCCACTCTGAGCTACGCTGCCCCCTGTTGGTATCAGTAGAATTAAAACGTTTTGATGTGTGGCCTGCAGTTTACGGCTACAAAGCCACATGTGGCTCAGTACAAAACCAAGTATGAATTCTTGAAGTTAAGGTCTATTGGAGGAGTAGGTGAGATGCTAGAATAACCAATATGGGAAGGGAATGGCAGGCAGTGATTTTTAACAGGACTAAAGGGCTTTTGGGAGATGCTTTACAGAAAGGAAATTGATATGGATGGACAGTAATCCAAGCGCAAACCATGTGCTGATTTGAAGCAGTGTATTAACACAGTTGTGCCAGGGGTGCTCCTGTCTATATTTATTACTTATTGTGAGACCTCGTGTGTGCCATTTCTTAATAAAGGACACACAACTATCAGTATTTGGGCTGCAGGAACTTTGTGGGTTATCATTCAACATTCTCATTGTCTGTAATGTTAAGCTGTGTATATTTTTGGTTATGCTAGTTGGCTTTATTATACTGGCTCTTTGTAGCATTTAATCTATATTTTGCTGCTGTTTGACTCTTTAGTTGTAAAAGGTTCTGACCTCTGCCTTTGTATGATTTCTTTCTGCTTTTCCACGATTTCTGTAGTCTCTGTAGCTTCACCCAGACTGCAATTGAAGTGCATCATGGAACCCTGTGTGGTTCTTTCTTTAACTTTCAGCAGGTGTGGCTTTCCTTAACTCAGCTGGCAAAAGATTTGTTATTAAATGACTAGTGGTACAGTTTTAGAGTTGTGTTAGACATTTTATATAGATATATTTATGGTAAGTGATCGGTTCAATTTATTCGAATTATAATCTGACATTTTCCTGGTTAAAAAAAGAGCTGGTATGTGATCGATGGAACTCATAACCTTATACCCAATGGCAGCTTTAAAAAAATATATTGTAGGAGAAGAAGCCAAAATTGGGAGTTAAAAAAATGACAGAGGGGAGGGAGAGGAAAAGGATTTTATGGTTAAACGTTAGTGTGTCAAGATCTGTTAATCATTCCAGGTTAGTCTCTAACAGCAAAATAAAGCAGGGGTCCTATTTTAGCATACACATTCACTTCATCAGATGTATAGAAGTGTAAATACATTAAGTTGAATTTCTCTAAAATAGTGGGGCAGAGAAATGTAAACCTGGATTTACTGAATCATTCCTGTTGCTTTTATTATTAAAACATAGCAATATTATTTTTTTTCATGTGCTTCGTTTCTTCATAACAAATTGCTTTCTTTTAAATAAACTACAGTTTACAGGCACTGACCTGGATGGCCCATGCTAGCCTAATCTCATCAGATCACGGAAGCTAAGCAGGGTTGGCCCTGGTTAGTATTTGGATGGGAGACCACCAAGGAAGTCCAAGGACACTGTGCAGAGGCAGGCAATGGCAAACCACCTCTGGACATCTCTTTCCTTGAAAACACTATGGGGTTGCCATAAATCAGCTGCAACTTGACAGCACTTACCACCACCACCACCATGGTTTAC